AAAAAAACCATTCAAAATTTTGACCCAAATTCCACGTCGCAAGAGGAAAAAAAAACATCAGCATACGACGTCGTAGTGGTCCTCCCCAATCTATTATTACCAAAATCCAACGTTTGATCTGTTGGATGTAAAATAAAGAGAAACGACGTTGACCGTACAAATCTAGACTCCCACACAGCCCATCTCCATCTCCTCTCTACTCTCTACCCTGCAGAAAAAAAAGAGAGAGATCGAAGGTGAATCAGCGTGCAATGGCGGACCTTTTCCAGCTACAACAATGAAGGTAACAGTTGAAAGGACCGGCGCCGCCCAAATCCAGCCCCCTCCCAAACCTCCGCCGCCGTCAGATCTTCCCCACAGGCCAAGTTTCCCACGCAGGACGCCTAGACGGCGGTTGAAGGCTCCCGGAGCCGGAGTCCGGATTAGGAGGGAACCCGGAGCCCCGCCCGCGAAACGGGGCAGCCGGCCCGAGACTCCTTTGCTTAGGTGGAAGTTCGATGAAGGCCGTGGCGACGATTTCACGGCCGCGGAAGAGGATAAATCAGGCACCGAAGCTGGACGGAAGTGCCGGCGGAGGATTAAGACAGAGGTATCGGCCAGGAAGCTCGCCGCTGGCCTGTGGCGCCTCTATACGCCGGAGTTTCAGATTAATTTTGGGCAAAGGGTTGGAGGGTTTCAGGTATATTTACTATGAAGATATTTAATTTTGTTTTTCGAAGCTATAATTCAACTCTCATTATTTAAATCTTGTTAGATTTTCCATTTAATTGTTCTTAGTATTATCCATGAAGTGGGGGATTTGAACTGCCAGTGAAAAGATAAAGAACACAGTGAACTAATTGCATGTGTCTTTTAAATTTTAATTGCTATGTTCTTTTCAATTTATTGTGTTCATTGGTTAAGGAACTCTTATCTGGGTCTTAATATTCTGAATCTGCCCTAACATTAATTTTGCACTCTACACTCATTTATTTGAAGAGTGTGTCCATGTAGAACTTGGGACCATTTTTTTTTTAAAAATGAGTTTGTATTGTATCTTCACAGCAATTGGTTTCATGAGTTAGGTTCTTGTTTTAGATCTGCCCCTCGAAAAGCCATTTAAAGAATGGGTGCCAAGTGGTCATTCATAGTCTCATTAGTCATCATACCTTTTTCTCCTCTAACCTGCAGTCTTCTGGAGTTGGCCATTTTGGAGGCTCTTTCCATTGTCATCATGTTCATAGAGTTCATGGTTCACCAGCTAAGGATTTGATGCATAGTCCGAGATCCATGTCTGGTCCAAAGCATGAGCTTTTCTTTAATAAGGTACAAATTTTTATTCACCGTGTTCCTTTGCTAGTCGAACTTTGTGATTGAAGTGGATTATGGAATGGACATCTCCAAGCTACTAATAGAGGTCTGCTCTTGTAGACTTCTTGTGTTAGGATTAAAATTATAAACATAAGACGGGACTCTTTCATATACTCCATGCAATGTCTTTCTATAAGACTAACTCGATAGGGCTCCATTAAGGAGCGCCCTATTGTTGACATGTCGCCAATCTGTGTATCACATTACATGGCCCATTAAATTGTAAAAAAAATGCGCCATGCAATACATAGATGGGTGACAAAACATATTGCATTCCATGAATAGGATCCTATCTTTGTTTTTGATGAATTTGGGTGATGCTGCATTGCATCCTGTACCTTGTTTATTTAGAAGTATTTCATGACATAAAATTAAGAGTTATTTTGTAGACTAGAACTCTTGAGTCCAGCAAAATTACTGAGGGCGATTGAATTAAATAGAATTAAATAAAGTTCATGTGATGTAAAAGCATGAGAGGGTTGAAAATGATAGCTGGTTAAAAAATATGTGAGTGGATGAATAGTGAATTAAAATTGATGCGATGTGTGAAGATGATTGATTGGTATTATTTAGTTAAGTTGATAATATTGTGGAGAGTTGGGTTGGATTAAATTTGAGTTGGAGTTCGAGTTAAAGAATGTAAAAAA